CCTCCCCATTCTCCGTCTTCAGTGGGCGACCCCCTCGCTCTGTGATGATGCCCCCTCTGGGTCCTAGACTCTCCCACACAAGGGGGTAACAACCCCTCCCCATCTCCCCCTGTCAGGTCTCCCCAAAGAATCCTGTCTGTTTCTATAAAGGTCGCCTCTCATTCCTCTAAACCCCAATGAGTACAGGCCCGACCGACTCCCCCTCTCCTCGTGAGGCAGTCCCTCCCTACCCGGGATCAGCCAAGTGAACCTTCCCTGGCCTGCCTCCGATGCACCCTGTCTGCATGCCACCCCCACCCGCCCCACCCATGTCTGCGTGGGTTTCCTCCCACAGTCCAAAGATGCGCAGGTGAGGGTGGGTTAGCCATGGTGAATTACCCATAGTGCTCAGGGATGTGTGGGTTAGCCATGGGGAATTACCCATAGTGCTCAGGGATGTGTGGGTTAGCCATGGGGAATTACCCATAGTGCCCAGGGATGTGCGGGTTAGGGTGGGTTAGCCATGGGGAATTACCCATAGTGCCCAGGGATGTGCGAGTTAGGGTGGGTTAGCCTTGGGGAATGCAGGGATACAGGGACAGGGTCGGGGGCTGAGTCTGGGTGGGGTGCTGTTCGGAGGGTTGGTGCAGTCTCGATGGGCCGTAAGGCTTCTCCCCTCGATGGGCCGAGAGGCCTGTAGGTTTGTAATCTAAATTCCAGCTAAGGGGGTCATGGTGGGATTCGAAGCTGCGTCTCATCTCACCCAGCTCTGGGGACTGGAGGGTTCGAGTCACTGAGATAAGCCGGGAGCTTGCGTTTTTCCCACTGCAGCGTAGGAAGCTGGGGTGGGGGGGACCTTGCCGAGGTTTGTAAAGATCACCAGGGGGCACAGATAAGGCATTCGCAAAGCAAAGGGCTTTCCCTTAGGGTGCAGGAGGGCGTAACGAACGTAGGAATTAGGAGCGCGAGTAGACATTCATCCTGTTGACCCCCTCTGCCATTTGAAAAGATTGTGGCCCATCTTATCCTGGTGTCAACTCAATTTTCCTACCTGCTCCCCGTAGCCCTTGAACCCACTTTTCATCAGAAACGTATCGATTTCTTCCTCGAATCTTGTCGATCGACTGCGCCCCCTGCACTCTGGGGCAGAGGGATCCGAAGATTCACAAACCTCTCCCAGAGATGGCGTTTCTCTTCGCCTCGGTTTTGATGTCTACCTCCTCTCACTCTGTACCTCTGCCCTGTTGTTCCAGACTGTCCCGCACAGTGGGCGGGGAGGTAGAAACGCCTGTTCCACGTCCACCTTATCGCTCCCCTTTCGTGCTTCACTCACACAAATCAGACACCCGCCGCACCCACCCCCCCAACCCCTTGTTCTTCTGAACTCTAACCAACTTAAGCCCAAGCGACTGATCCTCCCCTCGTGTTTACCGAGAGGGGTGAAGGGACCTGAGGGGCAATTTTTTCACACAGAGTGTGGAACGAGCTGCCAGGGAAGTGGGTGGGGACTGGTACAATTACAACATTTAAAAGGCATCTCGATGGGGACATGGATAGGAAGGGTTTAGAGGGATAGGGGCCAAACGCTGGCAAATGGGATGAGATTAATTTAGGATATGTGGGTCAGCACGGACGGGTTGGACTGAAGGGTCTGTTTCTGTGCTGTATGACTCTGTTTGAACTTGCACACATCCAAACAATGAGAAAAATGCCCAAATTTTAAACGCGCACAGCAATATATATACTACAGAGGACATTGGGTCATAGAGCCATACAGCACGGAAACAGACCCTTCGGTTCAACCCGTCTGTGCCGACCAGATATCCTAAGTGAATCCAGTCTGTGATTTTATAAACCTCGATAAGGTCAGCCCTCAGGCTCTGACGCTCCAGGGAAAATAGCCCCAGCCTCTCCCTGTAGCTCAAACCCTTGAACAACCTTGTAGATCTTTTCTGAACACTTTTAAGTTTTGCAACGTCCTTCCTATAGCAGGGAGACCAGAATGGAACGCAGTATTCCGAAAGTGGCCCTAACCAACGTCCTGTACAGCCGCAACGTGACCCTCCCAACTCCTGTACTCAACGCACTGACCCATAAAGGCAAGCGTACCAAACACCTTCTTCACCGCCCTGTCTACCTGTTAGTTCAGTCTGGGACACGTAGGAATGTTTCCGTACTGTTTGACTCTTTATAATTTATTCACTCACAGGACGAGGGCATCGCTGGCCAGGCCACCATTTATTGCCCCGTCCCTAATTGCCCCAGAGGGCAGTTAAGAGTCAACCACATTGGCTATGGGAGTCACATGTAGGCCAGACCGGGTAAGGATGGCAGTTTCCTTCCCTAAAGGGACATGAGTGAAACAGATGGGTTTTTCCGGATCGTCGTTAGGTGGGATTCAAATTTCATCTCCTGCCGTGGGTGGGATTCAGACCCAGGACGTGACTCTGGATGAAGAGTGCTGCGTTAAGGCCACTCGGCCTTTGCCTTTCCTGAACTGTACGGCTAACGTGTTGACTTTACGACACAAGGGTGGGTAGAACTGCAACACCCACCTGGTTGAGAGCCACCTCCAACATGACAGTGAGAGGCAGGCAGTTGTGGAAGAGGGGAACACAGTCGTTCAGGAGCAGGCAGCCGCCCGTCCCCGGTGCCCTCTCCGCTAACAGCAGGCCGTTGACGGCGCAGGATGGGTACTTGGCAGCGTGCAGCTGCATCTTCACGTAGGCCCGAGCCGAAATCTCCACCTCGGCCATCTTCGGAGACGAGGGGCCTAGCGATCAGAGAGAGAGACGGAGAGACTTGGAATTTCGGGAAAGACTGTATCCGCCCTGTTGAGGCACTTTCCCCAAATCTGCTGTACAGGGGGCAGCAGGGGGGCTCAGCAGGTTAGCGCCGCTGCCTCACGGCGCCAGGAACCCGGTTTCGTTTCTGCCCACGGGTGACCGTTTGTGTGGAAGGTGCACGTCCTCCACCCACATAGCTAACCCACCCTAACCCCTATATCCCTGGGCACTATGGGTAATTCCCCATGGCTAACCCACCATAACCCGCACATCCCTCGGCACTATGGGTAATTTCCCATGGCTAACGCACCCTAACCTACACATCCCTGGGCACTATGGGTAATTTCCCGTGGCTAACCCACCCTAACCCGCACATCCCTGGGCACTATGGGTAATTTCCCATGGCTAACTCACCCTAACCCGCACATCCCTGGGCACTATGGGTAATTTCCCACGGCTAACCCAACCTAAACTGCACATCCCTGGGCACTATGAGTGATTTCCCACGGCTAATCCACCCTGACCCGCAGGTCCCTGTGCACTATGGGTGATTTCCATGGCTAACCCACCCTAACCCGCACATCCTTGTGCACTATGGGTGATTTCCCATGGCTAACCCACCCTAACCCGCACGTCCCTGGGCACTATGGGTAATTTCCCATGGCTAACCCACCATAACCTGCACGTCCCTGTGCACTATGCGTAATTTCCCATGGCTAACGCACCCTAACCTACACATCCCTGGGCACTATGGGTAATTTCCCGTGGCTAACCCACCCTAACCCGCACATCCCTGGGCACTATGGGTACTTTCCCCGTGGCTAACTCACCCTAACCCGCACATCCCTGGGCACTATGGGTAATTTCCCACGGCTAACCCACCCTAAACTGCACATCCCTGGGCACTATGAGTGATTTCCCACGGCTAATCCACCCTAACCCGCAGGTCCCTGTGCACTATGGGTGATTTCCATGGCTAACCCACCCTAAGCCGCACATCCCTGGGCACTATGGGTAATTTCCCCATGGCTAACCCACACGTCCCTGTGCACTATGGGTGATTTCCAAGGCTAACCCACCATAACCCGCACATCCCTGTGCACTGTGGGTGATTTCCCATGGCTAACCCACCCTAACCCGCACATCCCTGGGGACTATGGGTAATTTCCCATGGCTAACCCACCCTGACCCGCAGATCCCTGGGCACTATGGGTAATTTAGCATGGCCAATCCACCCTAATCTGCATGTCTTTGGACTGTGGGAGAAAACCCACTCAGACCAGGGGTTGGGAGGGTAGGGGCACACAAACTCGTACACAGACAGTCACCCGAGAATCGGTGGAATTGAACCCAGGTCCCTGGCGCCCAGCCATTCCGCAGTTTCGATTCCACCCCCCCACCACTCAATATTCAACCTGTCTGTTTGCATTCACAGATCCATTACCTGGCCTCTTCACAATTTACCCTGCTACTTAAAATAAAACCAGGGACAGCGGACGCAGGAAATCCGAAAGAAAAAACAGGAATTGCGGGAGAAACACGGTTCTGAAGGAGGGTCACTGGACACAAAATGTTAACTCTGCTCTCTCTCTGCTTACTGATGCTGCCAGACCTGCTGAGTTTCTCCAACGCTCTCTGATTTTTGTTACTCTTCTACTTTGTATCTTCCTGTGGGAAAGTAAAATGGATTAGGCATGCTGCAGGCCACCTCGAGGCTTTATCTGTTGCCTTTTGTACAGTTAGTGAAAATTACTGATACTTGTCACTTTGACCATCACAGTAACATCTGCTTATTGTCTTGCTCAATTCCTCCTGTAATCCCAAATACCTATCGAGCATGTCTGATCAATTATGAACACAAGACAGAAATCACTGGATTAGTTTAGCAGGTCTGAGGAAGGGTCACCAGACCCGAAAGGTTAACTCCTCATTTTTTACTTCACTGATGCTGCCAGACCTGCTGAGCTTTTCCAGCAACTTCTGTTTTCGTCTCCGATTTGCAGGAGGGGTGGTTCTTTCGGTTTTGATAAATTAGGATTTAGAATCGCACAAACACGACCTCGTATCAAATTCAATTATCTTTTTAAAAAATGTCAACGTCTCTGTTTTAAAACTGAGACGGTCTTTTTACACATCCTGGCCCATTCTGTTCCCCCGAGGGTCGTATTTTCCTCCTGAGGGACACAGGGTACAGACTGATCGACCTATTGATTCTGTTCCAGCCATTCAGCCCTCTCCTCCAGCCTGTCACACAGGAGCAACGGAGGCCATTCAGTCCCCTTCTTGAGCCAGTTACACAGGAACAGCAGGAGGCCATTCAGCCTCCTCCTCGAGCCTGTTACACAGGAACAACAGGAGACCATTAAGCCCCCTCTCTGAGCCAGTTACACAGGAACAACAGGAGGCCATTCAGCCCCCTCCATGAACCTGTTATACTGGAAGAGGAGAAGGCCATTCAGTCTTTCAAAGCCTATTAATACCACCCAATTATTTTCCAGAAATTACTACAAGCTGCAGACTCGGCAACGGACTCCTGATGTCGATGGATGGAGAGCAAAGGCCTGGCGAAGGGGGCGGCCTTGTAGTGGGATTGTGGAGTTACTCATTCGCAAAACATTTGGCACCAAGGGAGGCACAGATCCCTCCCAATGGGTGGCCTCTCTCTTTCCTGGAAGTTTCCACTGACATGTTGGCTGGGATACATCCTTCTCCTGGAACCTTCTGATCGGGCACCTGATACAGGTCTTGGCAAATGGATACTTTCACGGTGGAAGTGGGGGCGGCACAGCACCAAATGGTGCTTTGGTGCCAGGAAGTGGGTGGTGGTGGTAGCGACACCTTCTGGTCTGGTGCAATGATGCAGGATGGACTGATCCCCCGCCCACCCCCCCCCCCCCCACCCCCGGGCAGCAGGGCGAAAGGTGGGGTCGCCTGCAACCTGAGGAGACAGCCGCAGGATGAGACGTCGGCCTTTTGAGACCACATCGACTCAGAGCGGCGGGACTCAGGGACTCTCTGACCCTCCCGCGAGGAGTGCGGGAGGCTCAGCAGCTGTGTATACTCAAGGCATGGAGATCGACAGGGCTCTGGGCCGGAAGGGAGACTGCGGAAATATGGCGCTGGGTTGGAACTTCCAGTAGAATGGTGGAGCAGGCGAACGTAGCCAAACGGCGTCTGATGCAATTATCTCCCTGTTCTACAGCAGGGTGGGGGGTGGTGGAGGATGACCCATCTCCATTGGCTTGTGCCTGAGCCCCGTCTCCTCCCCCCGACCAACATGGTAGAATGACAAGGTGGGCTGGAGGGGCCGAACGGTCGACGGCAGATCCCAATCTGCTACTTGTACACCCCAACGCCACCAACCCCCCCAACCTTTACCTGATGAGGTGGGAGAGTTAAAACACTATTGCCCCTCTCCCCAATAAGAGGGGTCACCCATTCAGCACCCTTGGGTGCCCACTGAACACAGACCAACCCTTCACATCCCCACGCACATCCACCATATCAAAAAAAAATTGGGGTGAGGGGTGTAAGGAGTGGGATTGACCCCCCACCTCTCAATTACCTCCCTCCCCCAGTCTCTCAAATCTCACTTCCTGGTCAACCATGAATAAGCCCGCCCATCTATTTACCGTCCATTGGCTGGTTTCCTGTCTATCAGAACGTCCTACACAGCTATTGGTCAAGCCCCCTTCCGTCAACCCGGACCTATTGCCCATTGGTTGATGGTGATAAACGAGGTCCCGCCCTCCTGGCCCACGATGGTTTGTCGGTTCTCCGTTGGAAAGAGTGCTGTCATTCTATTGGGCCGTCGAGCCGTCAGTCAGGGCGGGGACTGGTCACTCATTGGATGAAACTCACAAAGGACAGCCCGCTGGTTTGGCCCGCCCGCTCCGCGAACCCGCTCTTGGATTGGTCAACATGGAACACGTTGCGTGAGTCTATTGGCCCGTGGACGTGTCGGTTAGGAGTGGGGCGGACGGCGCAAATCGCCCTGGAGTATGTCCCGCCCCCTCCGCACCACGGTTGGTCCGGCACCCGGACCTCCCCATCTGTCCATTGGTCAACGTGGCTGCCCGTCAGGTGACGTAGGGGAGGTAGACGGGACGGACCACAGACGCACACCGTCATTGGCCCGTCGCATGTCACTCCGGAGCCGGTCCGCGGCCTGATTGGAAGGCCGTGAAGCATTGAGCCGGCGTCGCCTCCCCTTTCGGGGGCGTTCGGTGGAGAACTGCAAAGGGACGTAGCTGTACATTGGGGAAGGCAAAGCGCCACCACATGGTCTCAAGGATTTTAAAAAAATAAAATCGATTCGCTTACTTTTATTTATCTCGTAATTTCGAGGCGGCGTGAACTGTCCGGCTCTTTATTTTTTTGTTTTTATTTTCAAATCTCGCCGTCCTCGTAGCCTCTGCTCCCTCAAAAGATGGCCGCCCTCGAAGAGCCGCAGGCCGGGCCGTGGGCCGCCATTTTTGTTTTCGCGACCTTTGACCTCGGACCGGCGGCGCACTTCCGCCGAACCCCGGCCCCACGTATCCTCGATTGGCCGGAGCCGCCGCCGATCACCGTGGTGCCGCCCGGCGATTGGTCCGGCGCGAGGACCGTCCCGCCTTCCACCGATGCGTCGCCGCCCTTCTCCATCCCATTGGTCGCCGGTCCTGCCAATCAAGCGCCTGGGTAGAAACCATGTAGGGATGGGAGGGGGTTTGTGTGTGTAGAGGGGAGGGCTATGCAAAAATGGACTCTCCCTTGCTCTTCATTACCACCTTCCTCTGTCCTAGGGGAAAATGTTAAGAGTTACTAATAGCAGAGCAGTCAGAAAGGCAGGGTATGGTAGAGCAGAAGGACTTTTCAAATGGGAGATTACGCCCGGAAAAATGCATTGGAATACTTTTTAAGGAGGATAGATAAGGGGTGCTCAGCGGGTGCAACGTATTTAGATTTAATTAAATACCCTGGTCCGGCCACATCTGGAGTATTGTGTCCAGTTCTGGTCGCCTCATTACAGGAAGGATGTGGAAGTGTTGGAAAAGGTGCAGAGGAGATTTACCAGGATGCTGCCTGGAATGGAGGGAAGGTCTTACGAGGAAAGGTTAAGAGCGCTAGGGCTTTTCTCTTTAGAACGACGAACGATGACAGGTGATTTGATAGAGGTGTACAAAATGATCAGAGGTATAGATAGAGTGGACAGCCAGAGACTTTTTCCCAGGGTGGAGGTAGCTATTACGAGGGGTCATAGTATTAAAGTGAGTGGAGGTAGATATAGGGGAGACGTCAGAGGTAGGCTCTTTACTCAGAGAGTGGTAGGGGCGTGGAATGCATTTCCGGAGAGGGTAGTGGAGTCGGCCTCATTAGGGGCATTTAAGCGGCTGTTAGATAGGCATATGGATGATAGTATAAGGTAGGGGTGGAGGTTAGATAGACCTTAGGATTAGGGTAAAAGTTCGGCACAACTTCGTGGGCCGAAGGGCCTGTACTGTGCTGTACTGTTCTATGTTCTAAATTCTGGAAAAATTCCAGAGGGGACTGGGATACCGCAACATAAGAAAGAAAAGAAAAACAGCCTCGCACCCGTCATTGGGAACATGTTAGAACCCACCATAAGGCGTGATAACAGCTCAGCATTTAAGAAAACGCATGCTGAGTGATCAGACTCCCCCCCCACACTCCCCCACCCCGATCCCAGAAAGATCTCAGGCGACGGGTCTTTTCCCACTGGGAAAAGCAGCCGGGCCCAGGGTTTAGTGCGTTCCCTCAGCGCTTCGGCCCAGACCGCAGAATGTGCCAGCCTGCCACGCTTGGTCAATGTCAACTCCTTGCACCGGAATGACCAGGCACAAATACGTGGAAGTGGCGTCTCGCGTGAGGTTGACAAACGCCTCAGGGTTCGTGTACAGGAGCTGTCAGGAAGTCAAGCGTCCTGTTTGTTCTCCCTACGCAGAACCGGTCTGCTCCAGCGGCAGCGTGCAGGGTTTCTTCCTCCTGAAAGAGTACCCTTCTGAAACACGACGAAGAAATTTGCGAGTGCCTGTTACCATCGAGCAGGGTCGGCGTGGCTTCACAAGAGGGAGACCACGCCTGAGAAAGTTAACTTGATGGAGCCAAGGGAGCGTGCCGGATCAAGGGGACTCAGACGATGTAACGTACCTGGATTTCCAGAAGTACGTTAGGCTCCTCAAGAGGATGGCGTGGCGTTTGAGGGGTCGTCTAGCAGCGCGGATGGAGGAGGATCGGCAGGCTAACCGAAGACAGAGCGGGGGCCTGTTTTTCAGGGATGGTAACCTCTCGCAAGTATGGCGCCCTTGTAGATTAGCAGTGCGGCCCACAGCTATTTACAATGTGTGTCGTCGAGTTGCGCAGTATAGAAAACAGACCCTCCGGCCCAACCCGTCCATACCAACCAAGTTTCCCAAACTAAACTAGTCCCATTTGCCTCCCCGTATCCCTCCAAACCTTTCCTATTCACGTACTTTTAAATACTATAACTGTACCCAAACTACTTCCTCTAGCACTTAATTGCACGTATGAGCCACCCTCTGTGAGAGAAAAAAAAAAGTTGCCCCTCATGTCCCTTCCA